CCCCCCCCCCCCACCCCTCATCTCTCTTGATTGGGTGGAAATGGAATCATTTCCTGACCCCGCAAATCCTTTTATCACGTACCTGGTAGAGAACCGAGTAGTGAGGAAGCCTCCTTTGCAACTCTTGTCCCACACCCCTCAGAGTGGTGAGAGGGAGTGAGAGGACAGAGAGCAGTACCGGTGCCAGAGGGTGCAGAGTACTGTGCCTGGGTGAGTCCGAAGCTGGTCTCCAAAGAAGCAGAAAGCAAGTGTAGTTGCAGCTGGGAAGACCACCAGGAACACGGCTGGAGCAGGACGAGGTCAGGCAGGCCAGGGTCAATACCGATCGGGCAGCGAAGTACAAGGTGGCAGGCAGAAGATTAGTCGAAGAGCAAGCAGAGGTCCGGTGGCGGCAGCATTCAGGTGTAGTCAAGGAGATCCAGGTCAGGCAGCAGAATACTGGAACAGGCAGAGGCACAGGAACACACACACAGGAGCTAAAAGACCATTCAGCAATGATCTATAGGACCATCAATCCAGAGAAGCTGCATCACTTCCTGCACTCACATTGGCACGTTTTCGCGCGTATGTTCATTGAGCGCGCATGCGCAATAGCACCCATGTCCCGCAAATGCAGAAGACAGGTGTACGCACATGCGCAGAAGCATCTGCATGACTAGGTTTAGTCTTACAGCTTTTGAATGGTGCTGACACTGTCCTTCCTTCTGGAGGGGGGCTACTTTTCTTTCGCATGGTCCCTGTGTGTGTTGTAAAGTAGTCACCCCTCCAAGCGTGCTCCCGGGATGGACTACAATCTCATGTTTTGTTTACTAATTTGTATTGGGATTGTAGTCCATCCCGGGAGTGAGCTTGGAGCGGTGACTACTTTACAACACACACAGGGTCCATGGGGAACAAAAGTAGTCACCCTCCAGAAGGAAGGACAGTGTCGGCACCAATTCAGAGATGATTGGAGGATCTACAGTCGAGTGATACACAAATAAGATACATTGTTGTTATTTGGGTACGTGAACGTATTTTTAGGATTTAACTGTAAGTGTATATGTAAGTGTAAGCACTTTCACATGAGTACTCTAATACATTGTAATGTAAATGACTTGATCTAACAAGTCATTTATGCATTTATGTAAGTCATGAAGACTGCATGAGTGATCCTGATGTTTGTAATTTCTTCTTTTGTCATAATAGGCAAACCAGTAGACCTGACCATAAAAACCAACTTTGCCATTGGAAATATAATTATATCAATCATCTTTGGGCATCGTTTTGATTACCAACATCCCATTTTACTCAGACTCCTTGGACTTATCAGTGAGAACATGAAACTTGTTGGGAGTCCTTCGATTGTGGTAAAATACAGTATATGTTGTATGTATATATCCCGTATGTATGGTTTTTTTTGTGCAAAACTTATATATTATATATATATATATATTGGTATTGTGTGGCAATCCCACTGTAAAATTAGGTGTTATGATCACCCAGGACTCAGAGTCAGAGGGGCTGAGATGTGTCAGGAAGCAAGGGTTTGCCTGGGTTCTGCTTGGGATCCTGGAACTGAGAGATTTAAAAGTGATTCAGAAGGGATTCCATCTACAGTCCTGGGTCTGGGCTTTAGCAGTGACCAGCACTCGATAATTGCACAGGTGTGCACAGCCCTTAAGGAAAGGATGCTGACTAGGGGAATTAGCTCCTGCTGGCAAATAGGAACAGGCCATGTTCAGGTGTCAGGACGACTGCCCCAGAAGTCAGAGAGCAGTCAGGTGAGCTCCTACTGGGATAGAAACGGACGGTGTTCAGGGGTTAGGAGGACTCCCCCAGAATTTAAAGTAGATTCAGGTGGGTTGTGTGCTAGAGGCACATGAAGACAGCCAGGGAGGCTGGGAGACAACTGGTGAGGCTAGGAGAGCCGTGAGCCTGAGGGGCCATCAGTACAAGTGTGGGACAGCACTTCAAAGAGGACCGGTGGGTCGGGAAGTGCTAATGTTCAAAGTGGAAGCCAGAAAGCTATACTTATGTTGTTTTGAAGCCTTGCATTAATGTTATGAACAATCCCTGTGTGGGTATCCAAGGTGGATGTATGAACTTTTGTTTGAATAAAAGTGGGCTACAAAGCCCTTAAACAGAAGATATGGCGAGTGGACTGCGTCCTTAAGCGCTCACCATATGTGCTAATATCCCCAAAAATCACAATATATATACTGATATATATATATAAACAAATTGCAATTTTATCTAGCCACTATTGCATATAATAACAATACATTAATTTTACAGACTGATTACCGATTAGTGATTATTATTTCACAATATTTACCATGAAGTCATGATAAGTGACCTCCAGAAAGAATAGTCCCTACTGACATGTCTCAGACCACTTATTTTGTTGTAGTCTCCAGCCCCATCCACATTAGGGCTGGCAATTTCTCAAGGTTGTTAGTGACAAGTGCCAGCCTTTTTTGTAAAAAATATGGATGAAGGCCTTTCAAAAGAGAAAAACCTTCTATATTCATGGAAGGTTACCTTTAAAAAAAAGTCTGTGGAAAAAAAACCAATTGTGGCGGGCATCAGTTAGTAGATATGCCCTGTGAAAAAACACATGCAGTCTGTTATCACTGTAGAGCATGTGGATGGGAAGAGGCTGGAGGACAAACCCTTCCCTCTACCCACCCCAAATTTTCCAAGATGCACAAAATTTTACTACCTACAGGATATTCAGCAAGGGTCTACTTTAAAAGACCTGCAAGTGCCTACAATTTCTACAATAAACTCTCCTTATGCCCTTTATCAACAGCACTCCTTATGCTTTCCCTATCACTGTAAGTCACTTTGTCAATATGGCTACTGGAAAATCAACCTTTTACAGTGAAGGGATGGCTTATTCAAAAGCCTCTTTATTGGCCCTTCTATGGCTTCTAAGAGTTTAAAGTCTCAGTCTAAGTTCAAAGATCAGACAGGGCATTATACTTACTATGACGAATCCCCGCAGAATTATGTAGGGTGCATGAACCTCAAACACGCAGGATTTGTCACGGACCCATGGTAGCCCTGAACATGAACCTCATCCCTTATAGTAAGGGCCCTACATTTATAACATTTTGTCTTGTTTTTAGATGTACAATCTCTTCCCCATCTTCTATTATGTGTGTGGATCACATGGCAGGGTGATGCAGAATATAAAAGATATACACAACTTTCTGAGGACAGAGTTTGTGGAGCGTCTGAAAGAACTGGATAGAGATGACCAGAGAGGGTTTATTGATGCGTTTCTTGTCAAGCAAGAAGAGGTAATTAACTGAGTAATATAATATAGCACCTATATCATAGGCTGCCCCCATGTTTAAAGCTTGACTATTGACTTTTTATTTTTATTTGTTTTGGATAGAGCCGGGAAGGGTTAGAGCCTTCCCCGGTGTCTGTGTATACATTGGGGGTATTTTTCATCACTTGTCCTGATAAACTCTATAACAGGGACAGTTACAGTGCCAAAGAACACCACACCAACCCTTGCCCCACTGATAAGCCATAACATTCTGACTACCCACCTAACATTGAGTAGCTCCCCCTTTTGTCCACCAAAACAGCCATGACCCGTGAAAGCATGGACTCCACTAGACCTCTGATGGTATGCTGTGGTATCTGGCACCAAGCCTTCAGTAGAAGATGGTTTAAGTTATGAGGTGCGGCCTTCATGGATCAGACTTGTTTTTCCAGCACATAGCACAGATGCTCAGTTGGATTGAGATCTGGAGAATTTGGAGGCCAAGTCAACACCTCAAACTTGTTGTGTTCCTCAAACCATTCTTGAACCATTTTTGCAGTGAGAAGAGGCCACTGCAATCAGGGAATGACGTTTCCATGAAGGGGTCAGCAACAATGTTTAGGCAGGTGCCACTGCCTCCGCCAACATGCAGGCACCCAGCCATCAACATGATGTAACCAGGCAGCCTTCTTCCATTGTGCCTTGGTCCCGTTCTGCTGCTAATTTGCCCATTGTAGGGGCTTTTGGCAGTGGACACAGGTCAGCATGGTCACCCTGATTGGTCTGCAGCCACATACGCAACAATATGTGATGCACTGTGTTTTCAGATACCTTTCTATCAGAACAAGGATTCATGTTTCAGTAATTTGAGCTAGGGTAGCTCTTCTATTAGTTTGGACTACACAGGCCACCCTTCGCTCCCCACATGCATCAATGAACCTTGGCCACCTATGTCGCTGTCACTGGTTCACTGGTTTTCCGTCCTTGGACCACTTTTGGTAGGTCCTGACCACTGCACACTGGGAACATCCCACAAGAGCTGCCGTTTTAGAGTTGTCATCTAGGCATTACAATCCTTACACTCGCCCATTTCCTCTGCTTCTTCCAGGTGCCCTTGTAATGAGATAATAAATGTTATTCACTTCACCTCACAGTGGTCATGATGTTATGGCCGGTCAGCGTATGTGTACATAGTGCTTGTGTCTAAATCTATATTGTATTGGCAAATCTATCGGTCTTCCCCTATTATTACTGTGTTACTGTGTTTCATATTTAGGAGAAATTGGATCCCAATACATATTTCCATGAAATGAATCTGATGAGCACAGTGACAAGTTTGTTTATGGCCGGGACTGAAACGACCTCATCCACCATCCGCTGGGCCCTCGCATATATGATAATACACCCTGAAATTCAGAGTAAGAGTTATTTTCTGAGGTTATCATTATTTAGATTCTGAATTAATGCAAAGACCATTTTTTGCCTGCAGACATTTGTTTTTACAAACTCTAAAGCATTCAGGCCACTGCTGTGCCTAGGGGCAGTACTCGTGCTATTATAAGGGACAAACTCTCTTTAGTTTTGTCTTTAGTGACCGATTCAATCTAAATATAGATGAAAATGGACAGACTCACATAGGTGAATGTTGGCCTGTAGTGACTATGAAAGTGGGCATGACAGGAGTCACTGTCTCTGTATCTGAGGGCTCTGATGTGCTCTTGCTGCAACTGTAGATGTGCTGTCACAGCCAATGTTATTTTCTGTCATTTTCAATACACTGCTATGTATTGCATTGCATATTAATATATTGTAGTGTATGCCTGACATCTAGTGGTGGGTTATGGTTATTACAACTTGTTTTTCCATAAACATTTTGTATTTGCCACTGTTCTCCTCTCTTATTTAGTTTCAGTTGGTATAGTCTTAGATAGACCCTCCCTTCTTCTTACATGTTCCCTTATTTTATTGCTCGCCTTCATCACAGATACTAGGTTTGGAAGTGCGTTGTCTTTTTACACTCCAAATAACCAGCACACATCCTCTATAAAGCACTTTGAGAAGTACAACTGTTTTGGATTATGCTTCCTTGTTGGAGAGTCTGTCTGTCTGTGGAGTGTGCTGATCCAGTTTCTGACCATATTGCCTGGAAAGATCAAGGTCCAAAAGGATGTATGTCAAAGCATAAAGCGGCTCTTGAAACAGAACCGTAACAGGGTTATTCACAAAAGGGTGAAGAGATTGGAGAAGGCCAGAGAAGTGACCAATCTAGGACAACATGGCTGAACTGGAAAGTGAGCTGAATTGGGGAATTATTCCAAATCAGCTATTTTGTCCTAGATTGTTCACTTCTCCTCCCTTCTACAAACTCTTCACCCTTCTGTGAAAAACCCTGTAGATGTAGGGAGAGGCAAGACATAACAGTTTACATGTTCTAAGGATATACAAATAGTTCAAATGAGGTGCTGAAAAAAAAAATGGTGCCAAGAAAATTGACCTTACGGTAACTAACTTCACCAGTAAACTCCATGAATAAATTCATGTCATGTCTATATATGTACAGTTGATAGGCAGAGCCAGCTGTCAGTCACGCAGCTGGGCGCATCCCAGCATAATTGTCGGGATCCTCTTCAGCTGCGGCGTTCTCAGTATACCGCGAGCAGCAGCTCGCGGTATACTGCGGTGTCTCAGTATACCGCCAGCTGTAGCTCGCGGTATACTGAGCCTAGGGTGACGGGAGGACGCTAGTTTGTGTCCTCCCGTTATCCTAAGGAGAACTATGGGGAAAAGCCTTAACCCCATAGTTCTCCTTTAAATCAGCATCATTGTACAAGAAGCATTTAACATTTGAGTGCTGGTCAATTTTTTTTTTAAAGATCATAAGTGAGTCATTGAATAACACCAATACAAGCCTTGTAGATACAATTAAGTAATGAATATTAGCTAAACACTTCATTCATGTGTCTGATTTTCATTAGGACGGGTACATGAGGAAATCGATAGAGTGATTGGATCGGCTCAGCCGCGGATTGATCATCGTAAGAACATGCCCTACACCAACGCAGTCATTCACGAGACTCAGAGATTTGCCAATATCCTACCCATGGATCTTCCCCGAGAGACCACAAGAGATGTTACTTTTCAGGGATACCATATACCGAAGGTCATTTTTACTGTTATTGTTTTTGATTTTTGGCGCAGAGGCCGTATAGGGCATAGCACCTGTAAAGCGTGTGGCTTTGCGTTGGTAAAAACCATTGCAATTTTTTAACATGAATACAATCATACATGATTAAAACCTAGATACCTTCCTCACAGACCGCAACATACAGGGGTACAGGTACACTTAAAAACAAGGACACACAGGGACTCAGTACACACACACACATGCACAATCGCACACAGACACACAAAGGTTGAACTTGATGGACCTGTGTCTTTATTCTACCTCAATTACTATGTAACTATGTAAAACTGTACTCCAGGAAAAAACAATATTTGCATATTTACAATGTAGAAAATAAATACCCCTAATGATGTGTGTCGGTGGATGCTGCTGCATTATGTAAACAAATTTTAACTGTCTTTCATTCTGACATCTCTTTATAGGAGAACTATGGGGTAAGTGTTTTTCCCCATAGTTCTCCTCAGGGTCACGGGAGGACATAAACTAGCGTCCTCCCGTCACCCAAAGTAGATAGAGAGGACAAAGCAGCCAGACATAAGCCAACTCCAATTTCAAGATATAAGATATATTGTACTTTGCTCTATGACCTTCCTAAGTAGAAATTGGTGCCAGTATATAAAAATTATTACCAACTGACAACGGCTATTTTAAAATCAGTGTCACATAGCTATAAAAGTCTCACTAACTAGAGGTTTACGTGCGGTACCTTTGGTTCCGGGTGAGGCATTCCCCAGCATCACCCCCAGCACGTCCCACCCAGTCTCCCAGCCCGATGAATCCCTGCTCCTAGCTCGCTGAAGCCCTGCCCTCCAACCCAGTCCCCAAGCTAGTGTGAAGGAGGAGCCTCCCTAACCCTCACTTGCTTGTCACTGCTGAGGCATCGAGATCTATGGCCTCAGTGTTTTCTTTTTTTGATTGGACATCTTGGACCAATGAAGCTTTGCCATTGGTCCAAGCCATCCACAGAGCTCACGCCTCTAACACAGAGTAGAGGCTGTGACAGCTCTTGCCTCACCAGGTTAGGTTACACAAGCAGTGGGGAAGCCCGCTGCTGTGTAACCTAACTACCTGTCAAAATCCGGATGCAGCGCCGCCTGTAATTAACATCCAGCGTTCCATGACAGGATACACAGTGGGGAGGCTTTCCCTGCTGTGTAACCTGATAGAAGCTGATCTGAATGGAGAAAAGCTGACAGCTTTTTCCTCCATAATACTAGGTGAGGCTCTGCCTCACCTGCCTCCCCTGACTGCACATCCATGGTTTACATGTTGTTATAAGAGCTTTCAGTTGGAGACACTTGAATGATTTAGCATTGGAAGATTCATGGAAACAGCTATGGTGCGTTGGTTGAGGAAAGATTTGTTTTAAAGAACAATGGCTATATTGTAGGAGTACCCTTCCTTTTAGGCACTGTTTCCACCGCTTCTAAATTGAAAGTAAATGTCTCTACCCATTGCTGAGAGAAGGTCCTCTGGCACCCAAGGCAAAGATGGCAAAGATGCCAATGTGTACCACCCCTCCCCCCCTCCTCCTCCTTCCCCATGAACTGAGACAAATTCAGCTTGCATGTTGGGCCAGGACAAGGTGACGGCATCTGTCCACCAGCCCAGGGGTTACCATCTTTTAGTGTAAGGACAACCAACAGGGATATGGGGAGGTATTGTGACACTGTTAAACCAGTGTGATTTAGCCATACTCAGTCTGTTAAAACAGAGCCAGGTTTCCATTGACATAATTATCATAACCAAAAATCATTATCCTAACCACCAATCTGTTCTTTCATCTGAGAACTGAAGTCGTTTATGACTCAATAAAAGTTAAATTTTATTCTGCAATTTGTCCTCTTCATAAAGCACCAGAAATATGTTTTTAATTTGGCCCTACAAGATGAATCAAAGCAAATGTGAAACATTTGCATAACAATGTGTCACAATACCATGCATGGGTGTCCCACAACCGCATGCAGGTATCTATACAGGGGAACCAAATACGTGACCACACTTCAGATACCAAAACAATTCTTGTGAACTATAGTTTATTAGATACACCAAAAAACAACACAACCACAAGCAACCCCACCAACACCCGCAAGTATCATTTATGAGCCAAACTATATACAAATAACAAATCACACACCAGAGATAACAGGGCTGGGTATAACCTGGGGAGCAGGGCAACCGAGGAGACCTGGGAGCCACAGATCAGGAGACCTCAGGGGTAAGCATCAGGAGTCAGGTCAGGGTCCAAGGCAGGACCAGAGGTAGGAACAAAAACCAGGCTACAGGTAGGGATATGGAGACAATACGGAGGCACAGGCCTCGCTGTGAGGAGGGGCTAAATACCTGCCCAGACCAGCACCAGGTGGTGACTAATTGCTGATTACTGGGAGATGCCCGCAGGTGAGCACCGGAGCTGCAGGTTCCAGTACTACAGTGCCACCCAGAGGTGGTCTGGTACCTGACAGCCAGAACAGCAATTTGTGGATGAAGGCCACTGCAACAACCTACTGACAACCCATTGTCACACTGACAACCCAGTGCTCTAGTTTACAATGGGGTATGGTGTAGTCACCAAGTTCGCACAGAGCTCCCGATATAGTATAGAGCAGGTGGCTGTTACACACTAAGGAGAAAGATTATTCTTCCTCTGCCTCATACATCCTGTCTCTAGTTAGAAGGCCTTCTAGCACAGGATTCTGAGGGTTATGCTCTAAAGACCCCACATCACATTCCCCAGAAGTATTAAAAGGAGAAAAATAATTTAAAATTGTCAGGAAAGAAAACCCCAATTTGCAATTTTTTTTTAAATCAAGACCACATTTAGAATAAATTGCCTCAAAGATTCTGAATAACATTTCCCTCAGCAATTTAAAAACGATCATAGTAAAATAACTTGGCCAAGTGCAGAAGAAGGAGAAAGCTAATATAATTCTAACATAACATGTACACATGTTTATTTCCATCTAGGGAACGTACATTGTTCCTCTTCTCGAATCTGTGTTATACGATGAAACCCAATTTGAGAGGCCAGAGGCATTCTATCCAGAACATTTCCTCGATTCAAAGGGGGCGTTTCTAAAGAAGGCGGCTTTCATGCCCTTCTCAGCAGGTAATATACAGTATATGACAATGGATGATAAAACAAATACAAATATCAATATTGTAAAGCAAATCCAAAGTAGTTATAAGTCAAAGCATACACATGGGGAAGGAAGGTTTATAAAGTATATAGTACGTAGCAAAAAACATTCGACTTAAAGGAGGGTCCCCTATTATTTTTACTAGCAAAAACACGATTTTTCCCCAGAAGGGGATCCCACCATTGTTTCAAAATATATAACAAATTATCATAAAAGTGTATTTATTTTTAAATATATTTAAAATGCACACATATCAATATCAACAGAATGGGAAAAAGATATCAGTCTCATCGGTCAAATGAAGAGTTAACATACACATGTATGTTAAAGGAGAACTATGGGGTTAAGGCTTTTCTCCATAGTTCTCCTTAGGGTAACGGGAGGACACAAACTAGCGTCCTCCCATCACCCTAGGCTTAGTATACCGCGAGCTACAGCTCCCTATATACTGAGACGCCGCAGCTGAAGCGGATCCCGACAATTGTGCCGGGATCCGCCCAGCTGCGTGAGTGACAGCTGGCTCTGCCCATCTAGAGGCAGAGCCAGCTGTACCCGCCCCCTCCCCCGTCCGTTCCGCCAGTCAGCGCTGGCGGATCGGAGCGGGGAGGGGGGAATCCAGCCCCTCCCCTGTCACGGCAGAGAGCCGTGACAGGATCGAGAGGTGAGCGAACGCAGGTATGTGTTCACTCATCTTCCGATCTACTGAGCCGACCTGTGACAGTCTCATTGTCACATGTCGGCTAGAACTATGAGGTGAGTGAAAAGCACTCACCTTATAATTCTCCTTTAACTCTTCATTTGACCGATGAGACTGATCTCTTTTTCCCATTCTTTTGGAGCTCTAGATACAAGGATACTCTCCTGATACCAAGTATAATGCCAGATAGATAGATATGGAGGCATGCTAGGGCGCACCTAATTTTACATATATTGTCCACATGCATTTTTTCAATAACTAGCCGAATGCAGTCATATATGTGATACAGTATATACATGGTTGTTTGTATTTTGATATGTGTGCATTTTAAATATATTTAAAAATAAATACACTTTTATGATAATTTGTTATATATTTTGAAACAATGGTGGGATCCACTTCTGGGGAAAAATCGTGTTTTTGTTTATAAGTCAAAGCATCAGCATTTATTGTAAAGCATATAGCACACAATGTTTTCAACCCAACACACCTGACAACTTTTTGATCCTGATATAATACACAGAAGTGAATGGTACACCACACAGATTGCATTCATCAGCTGGTATGAACATGATATTACAGGATAGTGTGACAATACAGCACAGTGCTCACAGATTCTTGTACATAATCTCCACAAAACCAAGATACTCGAATATGCAAATACTGTACAAACCAACATGCTATGGTTGTTGACTCAGCCCAGCCCTCTCCACCATACTATTGGCCAACCAATCATAGTGATGGGCTAATAAAGAGAGGGCAGGCAGTGGTGTCTTGCTTGCTAGACATGTAAGCTGCGGAACAATTCGGTTCGGGTATTTCGTTATTTCGGAATTCGGGAATTGGATCAGAAATTAAATTCGGTTCGGCTTTCGGATTCAGACAAAATCCGAATTTCAGTAGTTGTGGAAGATTACCAGGTACCAGGTTATACTGTGTGCTATTATAAACCAAGAACTTAATCTCCTGTATGAAGCAATACAGACTGGGTCTGTGTGCTAACCCTCTCATGTAAGGGGTATGATGCAATTCCACAACCCTATATGAAGTAATACAGATTGTTTATACTTAGCCAGAACTTGCATAATCTCATGACATACCCACATGTGTTCAGGGCCGCTGCTGCCACTAGACAAACTAGGCTGCTGAGCAGAGGAGTGGAACAGGTCCGCTCCTCTGCTCAGTGGGTGGGGTTTCAATAGCCAGCCTGCTATTGGCTGTTTCAAATTAAACTAGCCAATAGCAGTCTGGCTCCTGATCTCTTAAATGCACCTGTCGCCTGCAGAAGCTATCCAGCAGGAGAATGGGGCCACACGATGGGGGATTGTGGGTTTCGCTGCAGGAGGTGGGCTGGGGGGTGCAAGTAGCTGGTCTTGCCTAGGGTGCAAAATAGTCTAGCACCGACTGCGTGTGTTTACATTGTGTACTTCTGAGATCCTCCTAATTAGCTGACTGCATATAGTTCCTTGAAGCTAAGAGACGCACAGGAAGTAGTGCCTATCCGCAGCTGTGGTTAAGACCAGGTAAAGACTGAGTACCCTGCTACATGCGTTACATCAGTATGGCGTTCTTGGATTTAGACTTAGTTTAAGTCTCTAAGGAAGTCTTTACAAACTCTGACAATCATTGCACTCTATTTTTCACAGGAAGGAGGTCTTGCCCTGGGGAAACACTTGCAAAAATGGAGCTGTTTCTCTTCTTCACCAGCCTTATGCAGAAGTTCACATTTCATGCTGCCCCTGGTGTGACCAGCTTCCAAGTCAAACCTTCAGTAGGTCTTACAAGTCCACCATCATCTCCGAAGATCTGCTGTAGGCCACGGTCCTAATAAAAATTAATTTCCACTGTTTATTACTGCTGCACTTTATTACTGCTCCCACACCAACCTTTAAAGGTGCCCCTACACAAGAGAGAAGAACAAAGATCTCTTAGGCGGGCCCCGCCTCCTCCTTCACTGCGAACGCCGGCCTCTTCTGCCGCAGCTGCTGGCTGTCACTGACACAGTGATCTTCACAGCCGCTGCTGAGCTGTGTCAGTGACAACCAGCACCCTTACATGCCATAGCGCCCCAGGAGGCCCACACGGCATCAGAGGGATGCACTGGCCGGGCCCGCCTGGGTCTCTATGGTGATTGCTACGCCACTGGTTCTAGTCATCTCTACCATCATGATTGATGAATGACATATGTACCGAAAATTACTTCTAGTATTACTTCTTTCCAGACAACCAAAACCACAGACTCTAGTCTGATTGCGTATATTCCCAAACTGAACAAATGAATATATAGACAATCAATCATCACTTATGTTCTTTACATTCATACATAATCCCTATATGAATAATACCCTCTAAACATTATTAGTATTGTTACTGATATTCAAACAAGAGGACAGTTTATGTCAGCATTCCTGCGCTGACATAAACTGAGAGACAGCCAATGTCAGCTCTCAAAGTCAGAGCAGGAAAGTGAGCATAAAGCTCTTAGACCACTCATACCTTCAATTGCTGTCATGCCTGTTATTATACAGACAGAAAGACAACCTTTCTTTGGGTCTAACAGAAGTTCTCCCCCAGCATGAGAACAGATACAGATTTAAAAGGAAGAGCAGCAAAGAGAAGGGAAACTACCATGGATTACAGTAAGGCGCACATTACAGTATTGGTTTATGTTAAAAAATCTGAGGGTTTAATGTCACTTTAATACATCTGTTCCTTCTTGCTCCATATTTTTCCTTCTTCTTAGCTATACTGTATTTCTTTGTATAAATAAATATAATAATTAATGCCAAAAATTGTTTATACTGCTAGTATCCATGCTAAAAATGACCTCAAAGCCTATAGTATATACCAGAAAGTAGTGATGTTGCTCAATTACCATAAGCAGTCAGTCAAATCGTTGTTATATTCCCTTTTTCATACGCATGAGTCTCAGGGTTAAACCCAGCGAATTCACAGGCCTGTTTCTATAAGTGTGCACGCTGTTGCTATTATTTAACAAGGTAATGATGATATGCAAACCCTTGTAAATATTGCTGAACATGCATATTCAACAGGGCTACCTGACCTGACTTGAAGGAGAACTATGAGGTGAGTGATTTCCACTCATCAATCATCCTCATAGTTCGAGCCGACGTATGACAATTAAAGGTCGGCCCTAAAGATCGGAAAGTGAGCGAACGCATACTGTCGCTCACTCACTTTCTGATCAGCTCCCTGCAGAGAGCTGTGACTGTCAGTCACCGCTCCACGCAGGGATTCCCCCCTCCCCATTCCGATCCTCCAGCGCTGAGTGGGGGAATGGACGAGGGAGGGGGCGGGCACAGCTGGTTCTAGATAGGCAGAGCCAGCTGTCACTCACGCAGCTGGTTGGATCTCGACAGCATTGTCGGGATCCGTCCTGGCTGCGGCGCTCTCCCATCCTCTGGAACTCCTTACCCCAATCTGTCCGCCTATCTCCTATGCTGCCCACCTTTAGGCGATCCTTTTTACTGGAACACAAAGCACCAATCATTCTCCTGGGACATTCTGGAGGAGGAGGATGAAGAGCTGGGAGTGCTGCTGGTGGTATATCCTGTGAGGTTTGCTTGTGCACTGTGCAAATTTTGTGTTATCACAATTTTGGAAATGCCAATTAGATCAGCTCATAAAAATACAAAGAGGTCACCTGCTCACGTTCTAACTAGCCAGCAAAAAAAATCTAACTTTTCGGTTTCAGGCACAAAGGTTGCATATATTTGCAACTTATCAAGCTAATAATTCACTCTTGTTTTACTTCATGCCTCAACTATTGCAATTCACTTCTAATTGGCCTACCTCCCACCTTCAGTCCACCATGAATGCTGCTGCCAGAATCATCCGCCTTACAACAGATAAAGCCATCTACAGACAAAGCCATCTACAACTCTGCCTTGAGCTACATCAACAGCCTCATCTCAGAATGTCGTTCAAACCATGCTCATCCCAAGACCTCCTGCTTTCTAGCCCCTTATCACGTCCTCCCTTGCTGGCCTCCAGGACTTCTTTAGAGTCCTGGAGGCCGATTAGGAATCCCTGCAGGGAGCCATGAGTGACAGTCACGGCTCTCTGCAGGGACATGGTCGAGAAGTGAGCGAGCGACGCTATGTGTTCGCCCACTTCCCGATCTATTGAGATGACGTGTGACAGTTTCATTGTCACACGTCGGCTCGAACTATGAGGATGAGTGGTTAAGAGTAGATCATGATTCATAAATCCTATTAATGATGACAAAGAACCCTCTTGTGGCTTCTAGACATGATACAAAGGATCTCTACGCATTTTGAAAATCACTCGGCCTCATAGTTCGAGCCAATGTGTGACAATGAAACTGTTACAAGTTGGCTCAATAGATTGGGAAGTGAGTGAACACATACCGTCGCTCGCTCACTTCTCAATCATGGCTCCCTGTAGGGATTCCCCCGCTCCGATCCTCCAGCGCTGACTGGCGGAACGGACGGGGGAGGGGGTGGGTACAGCTGGCTCTGCCTCTAGATAGGCAGAGCCAGCTGTCACTCACGCAGCTGGGTGGATCTCGACAGTAATATTTGGCATAATCTGCCATTAAATAAGTACATTGGCTATGTAATCTGTATAGATATGGCATATGCCTTAGTCAATATCTTAAATGATGTCCTTTTTGATACATTCCATAGGTATAGAGCAAAATAGGTGCTCTAATAGATGCTTTAATTTATGTGAAGGGGTAAAACTGCCATTGCTGGACAATACCCCATGCCAGTAAAACTGCCCTTGCTGGACAATTCCCCTGGCCAGTAAAACTGCCCTTGCTGGACAATACCCCTGGCCAGTAAAACTGCCCTTGCTGGACAATTCCCCTGGCCAGTAAAACTGCCCTTGCTGGACAATACCCCATGCCAGTAAAACTGCCCTTGCTGGACAATACCCCATGCCAGTAAAATTGCCCTTGCTGGACAATTCCCCTGGCCAGTGAAACTGCCCTTGCTGGACAATTCCCCTGGCCAGTAAAACTGTCCTTGCTGGACAATTCCCCTGGCCAGTAAAACTGCCCTTACTGTACAATACTGTAACACTCGCCCCTAGGGGTCTGGCTTATGGACCGCAGATGCGGATGAGGCCTCTATCGAAGAGGACGGGTATCAGGGTGCAGCTCTACCTCTGGAGCCCAGTGTGTGGAGTAAGGCGAGGAGGGAGCTGCTTCACATCATGCCCCGTATAGCAACAATTTAACCCTGTATAGCAACAACAGGCTAGGTCTGGAGGGTTCAACAAGTAATGAAGACAATACGGAGTTCAAGGGAGTATACGAACAGTAAAGCTCAATTAGTTTCGATGCAGTTCAACAGGCTGTATAACAGTATCGCTCAATTAGTATGAAATGCAGTTCAATAGGATGCAAGAACAGTACAGCTCAAGTAATATCAATGCAGTTCAGTAGGATCTATGAACAGTATAGCTCAATTGGTATAATTGCAGTTCACTAGGATGAATGAACAGTTTATCTCAATTTGTCTCAGTGCAGTTCGATATGATGAATGAACAGTATAGCTCAATTGGTATCAATTCAGTTCAAATAGTATGCAAGAACAGTACAGCTCAAGTAATATAAATGCAGTTCAAGAGGATGAATGAACAGTTTAGCTGAGCTAGTGTCAATGCAGTTCCATAGTTTTTAGCCAGCAGCTATGGCTGGAATACTTGCGGTTCTGTGGCACTCCCTGGTGTGGGAGGATGAAGCTAGGTCGGATCCTCGAGTAAGCTGGTTCCTGCAGGGGAGCAAGTGGAGGCTGGTTTGGTCAGCGACCTGCTTACAACGATAGTGGGACGCCGATCAAACCGCTGACCGCGGCTTTATGCCGACGGCTCGAGTGCGTGAGCCGAGTCTCGCGGCGCGCCTGCGCAGTAGCGGCAACTGACCCCGTCTAAGAGTGGGTGGAGCCTCGCGGCGCGCCTGCGCCGTAGCGCGGACGGAGCTCGTTCCCGGCTGAGGGGAGATGGGATCGTTACAAATACCCCATGCCAGTAAAACTGTCCTTGCTGGACAATTCCCCTGGCCAGTAAAACTGCCCTTGCTGGTTAAAGATACAATCTTATTGGACATGGGCATTGACATTGGCAGGGCTGAGTAACAAAGGCTAGAAAGGCACAAGGTGAAACTAAATCAGAGAGGGGCACAGGGAAGGATTATCTCTCTGATAAAGGTAATAGCCAACATTTTGCCCATTTTAGGTCAGACTTATACTTTCAACGTTTAAAATAGCTTGGGCTGCTAAATACAACCACGATATACAGATGACCGCTAAAGGAAACATCTACAAGCAGGTATATGAAATGCAATGTTATACAGGGAACAGCAAATGTTACAATTACACTAAATATTACCTATGGAAAATAAAGTAGTTGATTTATAAAACTTCTGCCCAGCCATATGTTGGGTGAATGCCGTTCGCATGGCATACCCGGCACTAGCTGGAGCTCAGGAGCATAGGATTTCCTGCGCTCCTTGGCTCCATTTAGTGGTGCGAACAGCATTCACCCAACATATGGCTGGGCGGAAGTTTTATAAATTAATCCCAAAAGTGTATATTTTAAGAAAGAAGAACTCAGAAAGTTAAAGGGCTTTTCAGGGCTTTTCCCCATAGTTCTCCTTAGGGTAACGGGAGGACACAAACTAGCGTCCTCCCGTCATCCTAAGCTCAGTATATAGAGAGCTACAGCTCGCGGTATACTGAGACGCCGCAGCCGGAGCGGATCCCGGCATCGATGTCGAGATCCGCCCAGCAGCGTGAGTGACAGCTGGCTGTGCCTATCTAGAGGCAGAGCCAGCTGTACCCGCCCCCTTCCCCGTCAGTTCTGCCAGTCAGCGCTGGCGGATCGGAGCGTGGAGGGGGGAATCCAGCCCCTCCCCCTGTCACGGCAGAGAGCTGTGACAGGATCGAGAGGTGAGCGAACGCCGGTATGTGTTCGCTCACCTCCTGATCTACTGAGCCGACCTGTGACAGTCTCATTGTCACAGGTCGGCTAGAACTATGAGGTGAGTGAAAAGCACCCCCTTCATAGTTCTCCTTTAATGTGTCAACAGCAATGTATGCATACTAATCAAAGGGTGCCGTGCTGAAAGTGTTTTTAAAAAAAGTGTAAAAGTACAAAGTAAATTGCTATAAAAGTGCACCGTGCAAACGGGCATAGCAGGGGTCATTAAATGGCGGACTGACGCCCGTAAACGGACCAAGTGGCGGTTCTGTCTGAACCTCGATCGTCTACATACGCTGAGTTATGGCTGGCCGACAGTGGGTGCCTCAGCTGTACAGCACCCAGATCACTTGTACTAGCCTGCTACTGTGCTGTGCTATCCCTGTACTATCAATGGTTACATGTATATGTTCATTCCCCTCAGCTGTCTTTAGAATTGTGGGGTCTACACAATGCCGAGGGCAGCCGAGTGAATGACCGATGAGCCGATGCATATGCGTGCGGCTCGGCTGAGCCGCTCGGCCATGATGGGGAGCTGTACGGGCTATTGTGAATAGCCCGTACAGCAGGCTCTCGGTTCGAATTAACCGATGGACTCCTGTAACCGAAGCTAGCCGAAGGATCGGCCGAAGCTACGGCTAGATCCTGGGACAGCTTCGTGAATAGACCCCTGTATCTCTTGTCTAAAGTGTATTTATCTCCTATGATCCTCAGCTCCACCTAGTGGACATAATGTGGTATTTACCCTATTTCTTTTGTTCTTTTTGAATATACCTATTGAAGAACATTCAACCAGAAGATAAATTACACTAAGACCATACGTTTTCCCCCCTTTCACAAAACACTTTTGCATGCAATTTTGCTGGATGACTAAGCTATGGGAATTTTCCGCTTTCTCTGTGCTTGTCTCCACTTCACCCTCTGTGAACGTCTCTAAACTTAAAGGAGAATTATGAGGTGAATGCTTTTCACTCAACTCATAGTTCTAGCTAACCTGTGACAATGAGACTGTCACAGGTCGGCTCAGTAGATCGGGAGGTGAGCGAACACATACCGGCGTTCGCTCACCTCTCGATCCTGTCACGCCTCTCTGCCGTGACAGGGGAGTGGATGGATTCCCCCCTCCCCGCTCCGATCCGCCAGCGCTGACTGGCGGAACGGACAGGGGAGGGGGCGGGTACAGCTGGCTTTGCCTCTAGTGGTGATTAAATACCACCAAAAGAAAGCTCTATCTGTCCCCAAAAAATGGTATAAAATTAATTTCAGTACAGCGCTGCATGATGGAATAAATGTCAGTTAAAGTACCGCAGCGCTGAACACTGAAAAATGGCCTGGATGGGAAGGGGGTTTAACACCGCGGACTTCAAGTGGTTAAAGGGACCAGTTCACACCATTCCGTTCTGTTACGTTGCACTGGAAAATAAACGTGCACTACTTTTTCAGCGCAAAGTAATGCAATGCAGCGTTGTGAACTAGCCCCATTCACTTTTTGGTGCCCTTGCAAAACAGATCCCATCGCAACAGATCGTAAGGAAATTAGAAGGTACAATTTCAAGTCAACAGACCTTCCAATTTTGGTGTGAACGAACCCTAAAAGATGGACCTTGTGTAAAGACAAGGTTTGTGAAGGGCATTCTCCCACTCAGGGGTTAAGTAGAAACAACAGCAGGGATCCAATTCAATACACCGGACACCCAGGTTTTAGCAGCTCAGACAGGAACATAGACAAATCCCGTAGTGCTTTTTGTTTAAAGGAGAACTATGGGCTTAAGTCTTTTCCCCATAGTTCTCCTTAGGGTAACGGGAGGACACAAACTAGCGTCCTCCCATCACCCTAGGCTCAGTATACCGCAAGCTGTAGCTCGCGCTATACTGAGATGCCGCAGCTGAAGCGGATCCCGACAATTGTGCCGGGATCCGCCCAGCTGCGTGACTGACACCTGGCTCTGCCTATCTAAAGGCAGAGCCAGCTGTACTCGCCCCCTCCCCCGTCCGTTCCACCAGTCAGCGCTGGCAAATCGGAGCGGGGAGGGGGGAATCCAGCCCCTCCCCTGTCACAGCAGAGAGCCGTGACAGGATCGAGAGGTGAGCGAACGCCGGTATGTGTTCGCTCACCTCCCGATCTACTGAGCCGACCTGTGACGGTCTCATTGTCACAGGTCGGCTAGAACTATGAGGTGAGTGAAAAGCACCCCCCCTCATAGTTCTCCTTTAAAATCAGCTTTATTACAAAAATTGCACTGATTTCATTGAATAACCAGCACCAGTTGTGCAATAAAGTGCAGTGCTGGCTGCCCTGATTATTAGGAAATTAAAACAGTTGGCAGTGTGTTGCATAAATAAATGCCGAATGCTGACAACAAGTAGAATAGTTTATGCATTTAGAGAAGTGGGAGGTCTTGGGGCTGTGCCAACAACTGATATCTCAAACTGGCTGCTCTTCTCAGTACGAGCCTTGAAGTTCTACTAACCACAGCCATGGAGCTCATCTTCCCTGCACTGCTGACACTTGTAGCTGCTTTCATAATTCTCTACCTATGTTCCTTCATTACTAACTACATTACAACTCCCAGGAACTTTCCTCCAGGACCCCGGCCTCTGCCATTCATTGGGAATCTGCACATTATCAACCTCAAGAGACCCTACTTGACTTTGATAGAGGTAAAGTAATTAAGCTGGCTTTCATTTGGCTGACCCAATGCCATTGCATGCTGTGAGCACTTGTTCTGTAGCAGCTGATCAGATGATCCTTCTGTTCACTTTCCAAATTGCTATAAAAAAAAAAAATCAAAGGTTAATTTTGATTATATATTCAAAGACAATTGTAGAGAGCACCAACCATCCATCTTCAGTGAGTGAATGCAGCAATGAGAGATAATTTCTCTCCAATATCTAACAACAATCCAATCTCGTTTTGTCTGCAGCACATCGTGTTTTCTTTATTCTTATAACGCCACCAGCAGTGGTATCAGCAGAAAGTATTGAACCATTCAAAAATCAATTAGATACTGTCCTAAGAGACAGGGGTACAGGTACTCTTAAACCTAAGACGACACAGGGACACATAAACACACATGTATGCACGCACTACACACACAAAGGTTGAACTGGATGGCCATGTGTCTTTATTCAACCTCAAATACCACTGTGTTTCCCCGAAAGTAAGACCTAGTTCGGTGATAGATCTCATATTACATAACCACGGTATGTAACTGTACTATGTAGCATAATCCACAAGCCCCTCCTGCAGACCCGGGACCGGCATCTCGGGTGTCGGCGGGGAAGGAGACCTGTGAACATCCATTCACCAATCTCCTCCCTGCTCGATGGAACCGAAAGTGACGCTGATTGCATCACTTCCAGTCCCTCAGCTGTCATTGTTCGGTTGCAGAAGCCGGACATTAAGCTATTCGATCTGCACTCCAATAGCTTATTTGCATTGGAAAGGTGACAGTGGGGGTCTAATTGACCCCTAATATCACTTTAAAGAGAACCTATCACCACTAGTATGCTATCACATAGGGGGTTTGTAAACCTACTTATATGATAACAATTAAATAAAAAAAAAATATATATATATACACACTGAGTGTCCAGATTAGTGTATTATGTTATAAAACATTTATTATTACCCATATTTTTAGTAAAATAGAAAATTCGGGGTCACGTCAGGTAAATATGTCCAAGGACCTGTAGCACACCTTACCGGACTTCCCATGTGGAAAAATGGGTGCTCGCAATTACTACGGATGGCGCCGTATCGGATAACGTCCATACAACGTCAGGTAAATAGACACCAAACATGTCAAGCCTTAAAATTGCGTGCGACCGCAAAATCGCAAAAAACGCCCACAGGCGATGCTTAGAACGCTTTTACTGCTCATCAGTTTAGTGTTATCAGTGATTGATGGCCCTAAAATTATTGCTCTCACTCCCACGTTTGCGGCGATATGTAACATGTGCGGCACATTAGGCGCAATCGGCGTTTTCGCACGTAGCCGCACCCGACGGTACTCCCGGCCGCATCGGGCACAGCGGATCTCGGGACCGGCAACGGCAGTGACAGGTACTGATACAAGCGATCGAGCGTCTCTAGAGATGCTCCATCGCTTGAATGTAAAGCTCCCGGCCGGCCGTGTAATTACAAAGGCCGGCCGGGAAGCTGCTCGTCGGGCTCCACCGTCCTCTCGTCACAGTGGATTTTTCAAGCCCTGTATATATATATATAACATAAAATTAATTGATATGTAGAAATTTTAAAAAATGTAAGCCCCCCCCGGTCCTGCAAGCGTGTGTGTACTATCGTAAACACGCATCAGGTGCGCCCGCGTACGAAAATGATGATCACGCTACAAATGTTAGGTATCGCTACATGCACCAGAGTGAGAGCAATAATTATAGGGCCAATATTCACAGATATCTCTAAACTGATGACCTGTGCAGGCTTTTAAGTCATTGCCTATGGACAACTTGGGTGACCTTATTTTGTCTGCAATTTCATGGGCGCACGTCATTTCAAACCTGGGCATGTTGGGTATCTATTCACTTGTGGTAATTTCATCTTTCATATTCTACATAAAAATGTTTATTATATTGTGTTCATGGGTGTTAAAGTGCATTTTTTACAAAATTTTTGGGTTTGATAAAGAGTTGCACTAATACTGTAATACATACACATTTGCAACTGACACCATTTCATTCAACAGGGTCTTAGCTTTCAGAAAAAAATATAATATTTGGGAGTTTTAAGTAATTTTCAGGCCTA